ATAATATAAATTAAAAATAGAATTAATTATAAATAAGATTAATTAATATAAATTACTTATTCACTCAATTTAGTAGTAATCAATGATTACTACGCCATGTGCTATGATTATACTATATACTACATCATGTTTACTATATTACACAAATAGATAATTGATTATAATTTATATTTGATAATAATTTAAATTATATAGTATATAAATCTGATATACTTGTGATAAGTTAGATGAATTTAAAATCTAAAGACAAGCAACTGAAAATATGAGATATAATTTTTGAATCAGATAATTATTATTAATCAATAGTTAATGAAAAAAATAAGTCTAAAAAGATAAAACAGATATTAATTAAATATGAATTGTGAAAAGATAGATTAAATACTAACTGTAAGTTATGCAAGAATAAGATTAATAATATAAATCAGATAGACTATTATACATAGTAAATTATTTCATTACAACTAGATTTTTTATTATAAAAAAGCATATTAGAAGAAGCTATACTGGAAGTTAAACATAAATATATTTTTTACTTGAAGTTTCATTATGAACTGAATTATATTAAGTAATACTGGAATATGACAAAAAGATATACTTGAGAGAACTATAACTATTCTATATATTATTTTTATAGTCTTGAAATCTATTAATATAATTATAATAAGAAGATTTATTAGAAAAGTATAATATTATATAAATTTATATAAAAAGAGAATTACTGTAAAATATACTGCCAGAAAGTATAAGTTTCATCATTATATCCCTGAATGTATATATATTTATCATAATAAAAAATATATGGTCATGTGATTTATTATAAAATCACGTGGCAATCTACATCCGAAATTTCGGACTGAGATGATAGCCACCATATATTCTTTTTTCTGACAACTTGTGACACTAAATCTATAAATAGTATAATATGGATGAGTTCTCTTCTGCTTCGGCTTCTATCTCTATAACTGTAAATAATGTCCGTCAAGAACTTAATCGCCTCTCTCTCCTCGACTCTGGAATAACAGATGATGAATTTGGTAACTTATTGGCTTATATCACCAACAATCCTAATAAAGTACCTGATATAGAAGAATCCCTCAAATACGGCAACGATAACGTTAAGATAACATATTTGAGGAAGTTATTAGGTATCAAGTAAAAATAATGTGTTTGTCTGCGCTTTTATATTTGCCAATAATATCGAATACTCACTTATTCTTGTGCTTTTTTTTCCTGCTTCTTATCATCAAACCCGCCCAAAAAACACATTTACGTTATCGTAGATCAACCCGTCACTAGTGGTGAGTCGTAATAAATTTTGTCAACGCGTCCTGGCTTGAATTTTTTTTTCACAACAATTTCGAATGTTCCAAACCTAGCGTTGTGATATATTTATCAAATATTGATTTGTACTTCTTTCCTTCCTACTGCGCTGTGTAGAGCATCCTATAAAGAAACGTCGAATAGAACAGGGCTGGAAGTCATACACCGCCTCTGATGGCCACTCCGTAGAATTGCCATCCCAAATAATTGACATGCTTGAAAGTAACAAATTCGTACCTGATCTGCGCATTAATTTTAAAACTGCCTTCCGGAACCTTCATGTTGGCCAATCAATTACCCTATCACATCTTGGCCAGGAACCTAAACACTTCGCTGAAGGTTATCAAGGAAGGACATTGCTTGTTACTGGGCAGATGATTGACATATGGGACAAGCTTTCAGCAGATAGTAACCATTCAATCAAGCGTGTTCTTTCAGGCCCAATGGGCGTGGGCAAATCATATATTTCCTACTTCCTTGCATCTAAAGCTTATGCTGAGGAATGGCCGGTGCTCTACATCGCAGATGCATCTGATCTTAATGTAGAATCATCAGAGACAGCAGGAGCGGTGATTTGCGAATACTTCCTGGCACTTAATAAAGATATTTTGACTGCCGCCGAGCTTAAGAAGATTGTGCAATTTGCTAGTGATCGTAATCCTCAACAGGTTATGGTTACCGTCGCTGAAGGAATTCTAGGCTTAATCAAATTAGCAGATCGCAAAGCTCTATTAATTGTTGACGAACATGGTATATTATTTGAAAAAGATCCAGTACCTTTAAGAATTCACTTGTTAAGTCCCCTGATGAACCTTAATTTTTGGGGAGAACATTACAAATTTGCACGTGTAATCTTTACGGGGACTGCACATGCTAGATATGAGAGGGAATACATGAAAAATGGTCAATATGAGTTTTGGGTGATCTATGTTGGTCCACTACAGAGCAATGTATTTGATATTTTGTTACAGTTGCACCCCGTTCTGAGGATACAAGGCATCAAAGAAGAAGCAAAAAAGGTTACGAATTGTGTGCCACGTGAACTCATATACCTAGTTGAACATATCAAAAAACTCAATATCACTATTACCAATGTAAACTGCTTTCAACAAGTATTAAAAAAATTTGAGATTGAATGGGTCGACAAGATTCTGGCTATTGCTCAAAAATATTATAATGATCTCCCGAAAACTGAAAAAACTCGCTACTATGATGCTCTCACAAGCATGTTTCTTCCCAGTAAACCCGTTGTGCAGTTTGAATGGAGGTTCTTAGATCTTGGGTTAATTTATCGGTACAAGGAAGGGATTACTCATTACCTCCCTCTATGCCCATCTGCTCAGAAAGCCTTATTAAAAATGTACATGTCATTTGACCTACCTGAAAATATAAAAAATCAACTCCGTGTAGGAAGTCTAACTGGAGAGCAATTTGAGGAAGCCTTATTCAATCGACTTGTATGCAAATGTAACACAACAATACAACTCAAGACAACGGATCTCAATAATAATAATAGTAATGTTATTACACTTCAGTTTAATGACTATGATTTGATTAAAAATTCCCAATTATCCCTTGGACCTGGTAACGATAAAGTCTTAGGTCGTGGCTTTGATAGGTACCCCCGATTTGATTACATGCTCGGACCTATATTTATACAGGTATCTATCAGTGATTTTACTTCACACAACAGCAAACCATCAACAAACATCAGGCAAGCATTTGAACCAATGTCTGCACAAGCTGGTATCTCTTTAGTGCAAATTAATGGAAGAAATCAGATCGAGATGTATTTGGATGAGATGTATGGTACTGGTCATTCTGCTAAAATAGATTCACAAAATAAGTTTGTTGTTACCAGAAATGGCAAGCGCGTGCCTGGATTTCGTATTGTCTATATTCGAGGTAGTCCCGGCACTCCCAATCACTCTGGAAAAGTTCGTGAATTTCCCGACGTAGCGCATGTTACCTTTGAGGAGATCAGAAGTCAGCTTTTCCCAAATATAGTATAATGTACTGTATATCCTTAGTTATGTGTAAAGAGAGAATTTTATTCTTGATTAAGTGTATTAGTTTACCAACGCTGTACAAATATTAATAAATGTCACTCACATCGGGTTTATCTTTTTCTAACATGTGAATGCTGTATGTGTGTGGAGCTGGATGTGTATTATCTTTTTTGCGATCTATTATGTGAGATCGATCACCTGAAATGTGCCGGAAAAACTCTTTCCGAAAGAATATCGCATATATATTTCTCATTATTTTTCTAAAAGTCGATTTTAGATACTTGTATAAAAAGTGTTATTGAAAATGGAATCCGAGTTTGACTTACTTAGAGAAGAAAATGCCAGACTTATGGCTAAGATTACTAGGCTTGAGGTCGAGAATGCTGATGTTATTTCTTTTGGCGTAATTCTATTTCTTTCTGCAAGTTCAATGGTGTATCGAACCTTAGTGGATCATCCTCTGACCTAGTAAGATCAAATACAATAAATTCATTTTTTCGAAGGTAACTATTAATAACCATTGATGCATTCTTAACATCATCAGTATATCGTCCAATTATTTTGGACACGTCTTGATAAGAACTGCCCCCGTTAAATATTACTAGATGGGATAAATTCTCACGAATAATTACCGGGACATGATGGTATTTTTGTGTTACATAGATTGGACTTATATTTCGATGTCGCCCATGTGTGAAAAATGGGATTATTCGATTTCTCTCAGGTAAAAATGATTTTACGCTAGGGATTTTTTCAGGTGAGATATATTTAAATCTAATATTTTCGTAGTATGGTGCTCTTGGATCACTTGCAATTACTCCATACATATATCTAACAAATGCCCATTTAGGTTCATCCGGGTGGTATCCACAAACTATCAAATCATCACACTGTATATAGCGGGATCCACCCTTTTTCTCTTTGTATATACATTCACCCTTGTCACCAACAAAAAGATTTCCAAGTATATTAGTCTTACCCGTACCACTCCTACCAGTAAATACCTTACTGAAAGGCCATATTATTGCTGGATGTCCAACATTTCGGGATGGTTCGTGCTTTGTGACCTCATCCATATCCATAAGGAATAGTTTCATAGGTGGTAATTCTTTCTTTTGGTTCTTTTGCATGACGGATTGGAAATCCATAACTATGATTTCTATAGACTGGATAAAAATTTCTTCCCCCTGATAATTCACTTCACTTTGTTTGTTCATGGTCGGTTTATATATTCCAGAAATATTTCTATATATATACCAAATAATTAATATCACTATTATTGCAATAATGACAATTTTAGCCAAAGACTTGCTCACGCTAATAATAGGAGGAATCTGATACTTATTATTAACTAAAGTCTCACCAGCGCATACTGCCCCTTTTATTGTAATATCTTGAATCAATAACTCCGGATTCTGCTTATTTGTGTTAATTAGTAATGTTTTATTTTCTTTTATTATTGTGAAGCAATGATCTTTCGGGTCTACTAGCTTATTTTTTATAATTGATATATCTTTTGTTAAAGATTTCCGGTTAGTTAGGGAAGTATCATTTATTTCTGCTTCCATTTTCTTTTTACTTTTAAAATATTTTGCAAGACTTTTAGATTCAGATGTGTCTCCAGAATTCGATATGAAACTTTGTTCCTCACTCTGCATATTTTTTTTCACATCTCCCATAACCACAGGATTCAATATATCCTTTGTTTTCTGTGAAGCAGGGTGTAAAGCGCCTAAACACTCAATTTCATTAATTTTTGAAGCTAATTCATTCTTTGTATTCGTTAGTTCATTCTTTATATTCATTAATTCAGACTTGAGAGATATGATCTCAGATTCTTTTTTTACTATCTCTTCCTGAGTTAAGAATGCATTCTTTTGAGCTGATTCTATCTTCTAGCTTTGAATTAGAAGCAGTTTTGACACAAAAAGATGATAAAGATATAGAATATATAATCACTTATGCTAGTAAAAAAATAAATAATACTGAGAAGAATTATTATATTACTGAATTGGAATGTTTGATAGTAGTTTAAGCAATATAACTATTTAGGCTATACTTATATTTTAATATTCCTTTCATCTTGATAATTGATCATAACACTTTGAAGAGATTATTTAATAAACTAAAGATTTCTGAAAAACTTACATATTAAATTTTGACTTTAAAGAATTATAACTTCAAGATTAAATATTATAAAGACTAAATTCACTCTAATATAGATCTTTTATCTAGATATTTTCAATCAGAACTAACTTAAATACAAAAGAAACAGAAAATATATTACAAAATTGCTTAATAACTATTTGATATACTCTTATCTAACTATTTAACTTGAATATAATAGAATTACTTAAATACTTATAACTTATTACTTACTTAGATATTCTAGTTATGTTAGAAAAAATATCAGAAAAAGATTATCAAAAATTCAAAAATAAAGCAAAATTATACTTAGTAAAATAATAAATCTTATTAAATATAATAAAAAAAAATCAAATCAATCTCTGAAAGTAATTAAAATTAATGAAATAAAAGAAATATTATTCAATAATTATATAATAATATATATTAAATATTTTGATATTGAAATAACTTATTATAAAATTGCTCAAAATTACTATTGATCTAAAATGTATTATGATATTAAAAATTATATAAAAGTATGTGATATATATTAATACAAAGAAAAAACTAGAAGAAATAATATATTATATCTTATAAAGAGCAAAAAATCTTTTGAAAAGATAGGAATAAATCTAATTAAATTATTTATATTAATAAAAGATAATTATAAGTATATAGTAGTTATTAGTGATAGGAATCACAAATAATCATAACTAGAGATGGGAGCCGCAACTAGCCGCAACTCTGTCGCAATTCTCTGATTGGCTGCCGTAACTCTGTCGCAATTCTCTGATTAGCTGCCGCAAGCCGCAATTAGTTGAGGAGCCATCTTTAATCATAACTCTATCATAATTCTCTGATTGGCTACCATAACTCTGTCATAATTCTCTGATTAATTACTGCAAGCCATAATTAGTTGAGAAGTCATTTTTAATAGTTATTATAGACTATTATATTAAATAAATAAAGATAAGACTAATCTTAAATAATTTAGCAAAAGTAATAATACTATTTCTATATAAAGATATTTTTTGTAAACATAATTTTTTAAAAAAAATAATATCAAATAGAGAAACAATCTTTGTTAATAAATTAATAAAAGAATTATTTGAAAAATATTAAATCAAATATTATTTATCAATATTATATTATCCTTAAACTAATAGATTTATAGAAAAATTAAATAGAATATTATATAATACTATTAGAAAATTAATTTAACTATATGAAAAAGAATAGGATATATATATATTTTTAGTACTTTTTACTTACAGAATAATAAGATAAAGTTTAATAAAATTTATATCTTTCTATCTTATCTATGATAGACAAGCTATTATACTATTAAATCTTAAATTAAAATTAATTAAAAATAAAGAAAATATTACTTTAAATGAATTAGTCAAAAGAGCTTGCACTATTATAAATAAACTGAAATTAGATAGATTTATTACTTAATAAAATATATAAAAATCTTAATAAAAATAAAAAAAATGTATTAATAAAATAAAAATTATTAATATTTTTTTATTAAAGATAAAGTCTTAATAAAAAAAATGGAAATCTAGTATTGTAATTAATTACTTATTTATATGGCATAGTAGATGTAGTGCAGTATAGAGTGCAGCTATAGCACGTGGCATAATAATTACTAATCACTACTAAATTGGATGAATAAGTAATTTTATTAATTAATCTTATTTATAATTAATTCTATTTTTAATCTA